AAATGTGGGGAGCATTGGGGGCAAGGCCACCAATGCGCTGCCACGGTCCAACTTCATGTAGTTGAAGATCTATGGGAATGCTTCAAGCTGAAGTGGATGATCGGTGCCGGCACAAATCGGATTTGGAAGAGGAGCAACTTATGTCAATATCCAAATTAGCCACAACGGGGGCAACGACACCCCGCACCGTCAGACTCCTGGGTGTGATCGAAGGGCATGAAGTTCTCATACTTGTGGATTCAGGGAGTTCTCACAGTTTTATCAGCGAGGTGGTGGCAGAGTTGATTATTGAACAAGTGTTGCTAATGGATCTAGTGTTAGTCAAAATTGCAGATGGGGGTGTGCTCAAGTGTTCTGGAATTATACCATATTGCAAGTGGCAGACTCGGGGGTACAAGTTCTCCACTGATTTTCACATCTTGTCATTGGGCTGCTACGACATGATGGTAGGCGTCGACTAGTTGGATCAGTGTGGACCAATGTTGGTCGACTGGGCAGCCAAAACATTGCAGTTTGACCGGTAGGGGGAGCAAATTGTGTTGAAGGGGCCGCAACCACAAGTCCAACAAGTGCAGCAGGCCACTTTGTTGCAACTCCTCAAGATGGAACATGGCAACTCAATTGCGCACATCATGATGATTTGTGCAGCAGAACATCAAGAAGGAAACGAGCCAGTGCCTTCAGTGATACAACATATCCTCGATGACTTTCAATCAGTGTTTGCAGAATCGACCAATCTGCCTGAGCACAGAGAATGGGATCATGCCACCCCCCTCATTGCAGGTGAAAACCCCATCAACATGCGTCCGTACAGATACACACCAGAGCAAAAAATGAAATAGAAGCACAAGTCAGAGAGATGCTTCGCCTTGGACTTATTGTACCCAGCAACAGTGCCTTTTCCTCGCCGGTGTTGCTGGTCAAAAAGAAAGATCAGACGTGGAGGTTCTGTGTGGATTTCCAGCATTTGAATGCCATCACAGTCAAAAGTACTTACCCAATGTCAATCATCGATGAGCTGTTGGATGAGATTGCTGGGTCCAAATGGTTTTCAAAGCTGGATCTACATGCAGGGTATCACCAGATCAGGCTGCGTCCAAAAGATGAACATAAAACAGCCTTCAAAACTCATTTGGGCCACTGTCAATTTTGGGTGATGCCATATGGACCGGCCTATGCGCCAGGCACATTCCAAGGGAGCATGCATATTGTACTCGCTCCCATGTTGCGCCATGGCGTGCTCGTCTTCATGGGTGATATCCTTGTTCACACAGAAGAATTGGAGGCTCACAAAAAGTTGTTGCGACAAGTTCTTGGTCTCCTATATCAACATGGGGTCAAATCCAAAATGTCCAAATGCACCTTTGCGTAGCAAAAGATCAGTTACTTGGGGCATATCATCAGTGACCAGGGAGTGGCCACGGACAACATCAAAGTCCTGGATGTGCAACAGTGGCCTGTTCCAACCAATACAAAAGAACTCAGGGGTTTCTTGGGTCTAGTACTACAGGAAGTTCGTTCGGTTCTTTGGCGTCATCAGCAAGCCGCTCACCAACCTGCTTAGGAAAAATACCCTGTTTGTGTGGACACCAACTGCTAACGAAGCTTTCATCACTCTCCAAAAAGCACTGATCGAAGCTCCTGTGCTGGCGCTGCCCAACTTTTACCAGCAGTTCGTTGTGGAGATGGATGCAAGTGCCACGGGTATAGGGGCAGTTCTTATGTAGAATAACCATCCGGTGGCTTACTTGAGCAAAGCTCTAGCCCCTTGCAATCTTGGGTTCTCAACCTATGAAAAAGAGTTCCTGGCTCTTCTCTTGGCAGTGGAACACTGGCGCCCCTACCTCCAGCATGCAGAGTTTGTGGTTCGGACGGACCAAAAGAGCTTGCTCAACCTGACGGATCAAAGGCTCAATACGCCAATACAACAGCGAGCATTCACCAAACTAGTCGGCCTGCAGTTCACTATTCAGTATAAGGCGCGGCTAACCAACAGAGTTGCAGATGCGCTTTCTCGTCGCGCACCCGGACATGAAACAGAAATGGCAGTGATCTCGGTGTGCAAGCCCACGTGGCTGGAAGCAATCAAACAAAGCTATCGGCAAGATACCGCAACTACTCAGTGCATGACAAAGTTGGCGCTGGCTCCGGACAGTGACCCGGGATTTTCCTTGCAAGACGGGATCCTGAAGTTTCACGGGCGCGTGTGGATTGGGAAAGACCCTGACATATAGAACCTGATCAGAGCATTGCACTCCAGCACGGCAGGCGGGCACTCGGGATTTAATGCTACTTACAACCGGGTCAAGCGCCTTTTCGTGTGGCATGGGATCAGTGGCGGATCCAGGATTTGAAGCTATCCAGGGCGGACTTATAAAGGATTCAAAAAATCAAACCACGATGCAACCAAAGAAGAAATAAAGAAAATTAATAGGCCAAGTAGCATGATTCCAGCAGGACGATCAACATAATTAATTGTTCGAATTAGTTTCATTCTAAGAACTAGGAGAAAAACATACGACACCACAAAATTTATATAAACTAGAGAATACCCCACGCGTTGCTGCGAGAATCGATTGCAATATATTTCAGTGATTTGATTGTATGAAGTTTCCATAGTTGAATTAATAATATATGAACTAAAGCTAAAAATAAATATATTTATTGTACGTCCTCCATCTCAAAATAAGTGCCTCAACTTGATACGAACTTTAGTATAAAGTTGTATTAAGATTGAGACACTTATTTTGGGACAAAGTTCGTATAAAGTTGATGCACTTATTTTGAAACGGAGGGAGTATTTGATTATTGTGTAGTCAAAAAATATTTTGAATATAAGTGGCATAACGTAATGGAAAACTTTTTTCATGCATTTTGGAGTATTTAACCAAAAACTACCACAATTCATGAAATCATGCCAAAAAACTACCACTTTACGTTTTTGTGCGGAAAACTACCATTTTTGTCCTAATTCTTGGCAAAAAACAACCAAATGTGAAAAGTGCCTGATTTACCTTTCGTAAACGCCTTTCTGACATGCTGCGCCCACAAGTCAGCTTGACCGTTAACGGGAGGCCAACGGCGGGGGCTAGCTAGCCAGCTTGAGCGGAGGCCAGCGCACGGCGCGTCGACCTGCCTGCCGGGCGGCGCGGCAGCACGCCCGTCCTGCTTGTCGGTGCGGCCTGCCTGCTCGCCCGGCGGTGCAGCCTGCCTGCTTGACGGCGCGGTGGCCTGCTCGCCGACGCTGCCATTGCCCTACCCACATGTGGTCGTATCACTGTCTGGACTGCGTACGCGGTCGTCCGAACAGAGGTCGTGCGTGAGCAGTCGCCGCTGGCAGAGCCCGCGGCGGGCGTGCGTGCATGCGAAGCCGCGGCTGGCTGGTCACCGCGCGTGTGCGCGTGCGCAGCGCAGCTGCTACTAGCTGGCCGTCGCTGGCAGGCCATGTGCATGCGTGCGTGCGCAGCGCAGCCGCCGTTGGCTGGCCG